TACTCATGAATGCGTAATGGAATGAAGTGATAACATTCTTGTCGCTCTTCCTTTCTGTTTCTGGAGCAAAAAAAAACCAGACCTTGAAATTCGGTTGTTGGGAGGGCTAGATAAAGTCTTCAGAAGAGCCTGTAAGCTGAGAAAGGTCGAATAAGTGTAAAAAATAGGGAGCTCTATGGATAGGTACAGACCCTAGTATTTAGACTTCTGGCAGCGATCACCTTCCTACAAATCCCTGAAATTGAATCGCTAAGACCGACGACTTTCCAGAGTGTTTCTACTAGGGTCAGAGCGACTGAGGTGGGTGGGATGTTGTGAGGCAATTCGAGATTCAAAGGAGGACGCTCTCTGATAAAAACAATTTTTATGAGCCTTCAAAGAGTAAGGTTCAATGAGGATGTGCACTAGTAAAGTTCAACATGTCGATGAAAAAAATTAAATTTTTTTTTGATTATTGGAAACACCACAGAGATCTTGTGGTTGACTGCAGCTGATATGATTTGTACACAGGTCATGACGAGCGATAAGGAATGTTGTCCTAGTGATGTGTATTGACTCCACTCTTATTACTATCAATGATTTTCAATTTCTTCCACGTTTTTCTTCTCTACGTGTTCCCTAACTGACTAATAGAATTATTTCGAGGGGAACTTTATAATTGGATCCCGCTTATACTTCCAGATCTGTCAACTCGCGCTGCCATAGCACTTGTATATAGTAACTTTCGTTTTTGAATCTGCCGTTATAAATAGTAGCTGCATAATTTCGTTTGGTCGGGAAAGAGACCGGTCCGATTAGTTGAATTGGTATGGCCAAGAACGGCTTCAATGGAGCCAAGGTGAGTGAGCAACCCGAATTAGTTTTTTCTTGCATTTTTTCATTCTCATGCTTTCATTCTCTTTTGCTAACAGATGATGCTTCCTTCGTCATTTATCCAAAGAACTCTGATGAATCATGAAGATCGAGGAAAAGTGGTCTCAATTATACTGTTGACTTCATTATTCACGATACTGCCTGTCGGGTAAGATCGTCTAACGTCTGTTTATATGAAAAAAAAATTTTTTTCAATCTCGAAACCTTGTCTGGAAAGCCAAAAAGCCGAACAACTCTATTATTCATATCTCAAGCATGCAGCTTTTAAGAAATAAGGTTCAGCTTTCACAGCAGGCTATAGTCTTCTTAGAAGGACCCTTTTTTCCTTGAGAGCGGTTAGCCAGTTTAAGCGTAGTTCAGTGGGACTGGCTTAAAAAGAGTAAAGCTCATGGCAGGTCAAGATAGCTCACATAATCCAACAGAACAGTCATCATGCTCGAGGGAGCGCATTGTTGGTGTTGTATGACAAACTGCGGTAGTTTAATGAGCTTTAGAGCAGGAGCACTTATATTCCGCCCAGCAGTCCGTCCCGCCCTCAAATGGACGTGTCTATGGTGGCAATTTATTACTTTTCGTGCCGAGCACTCTTATAGAGTTGTTACGCTTCTGATCTCAAAGTCAAGTAGACTTTCGTGAGCATGTATATAGGGCTTCTTAGAACGTTGTTTTAAATGAGTAGTAGACATCGAACTCATCCGCCATACTGACCTTTCTCCAGTGGCACCTGGAAATAAAGGCTTGCTTTGTAAGTATGGTATCGATAGATTTTGAATCGACTGAAAGAGCAGGGAATATATAATATACATAGAATTCGGATATCTACTCATTACTACGGTGTAACATCGTTGACTTTATCCGCCCAAACTGTTCTCCATAAGTTGAGAAGGCCGGTGAGTGTGACGGCATACAAAGATTGTATACAAAATCATAACATAGCCATGTCTAGAATAAGTATAGAAATTAGATCCATAGTGTAGCTGGGTAGCAGTGTCACGAATGCAAAAATGCTATGAAGTCAAATTCTCCTTAATGTCTTACTTTCAGGTATCACATGGTTGTGCTTAATGTACCGGATGACATAATACAACAATCATTGAGCGAAAGTCTTTTCAACACCTTCGGATTGATATTGTCACGGAATGCCAAGGATATACTTTGGTAAGTTTTCTACTGATCGCTATAAATTTTTCCAAGAGGGCCTTATTTAGGGCGATACTGGTCTCATGCCAAAGTCTTGGGGCCTTAGTCGGATGCTTCATGGTTACTCCATTATTACGACGGTTTGGTGTCAAAAGTGCTTTGATGATGGTGAATAATGTGCTGTTGTTGCTTGGATCGCTTTCGATGTGAGTTCCCACACCAACGTTTTGGTAATGGTAACTGATTCTCAAAAAGATCTATCTTTTTCCAACACGCTTTTCATCACTTTCCCTGACCAGTGATTTTTTTGGTTGATAGCGTTCTTGCTTGACTTCGCTCCGTTGCTCATCGTGGGTCGTCTTCTGATCGGAGTATTTACTGGTATTGCCTGTGCTCTACTGCCATTGTTCGTTCAGCAAGTCGCTCCAAAACAGATTAAGGTGAATTTCCCTTCGCTATTTTAAACCTGTGGCAAGAGATGGTGGTGGCGCACTAACGCACACGCACGGTCATGGATTCGAATCCCTGTCCGCCTAGGTCAAACAAGCTTTCCATCCCTCCGGTATCGGTTAATTGGTTGCAGACTCTGTCTGGGAGGATAAGAGAAGTGACTCGTATATCGGCTGGCCACCGTAAGTCATTGTATAGGCCAAATGTGCATTCATAACGCTACTTTGATTTTGAATGTAAGTCGAATGCTGGGCGCATCCTTCATACGGATTGATTAACGCCGAAAGACTTTACTCTTTATTTTTGACCTGTCCTCATTCTGAAAAAATTCAGATTTTTTTGAGAAGGCTGTGAGCTTGAGGAGAAACCTTTCTCGCAATAATCCACGAAGCTACTATCCTCGTTGTTGACAGCCAGGGTGGAAGTGGAATCCTAATGAACTCTATCAGGCTCTAAGTCATTAATGAAAAACACGGAGATTTTGCCTTTCGAAGAAGAGATGTACCACGAAGTTCTCATTCAGTGGCTTGGATTAGGCTCTATTGGCACTGAAAGCACGGCTATTGAAAAGCCATTCCGAGATACTCAGAAATACCCCCGCGTGGATCACTGAAATTTAAGGATCTAATTGACTGTGTGAATGACTGGGTAAGAAACTCAGAGCTGTGGCTCAGGAGCTCCAAGCCCATGGTCAAGTGCTGCAGTGAAGTAATTCTATCAACTTCTTCCAAAACTTCCATACCCTCACCCTGGACTATAGGCCAGCGTTGAAGCTGTATTAATTTTAAACATTGTACATATTGTTATTCATAACCAGTAATTAAATAATGAGGTGAGATATTGCACTCGAAAATGGGTTTGGTTGTGAGAGATAGATTCATTACGGTGGGATTACGAAAGTTGCGAATCATAGGTAGCATTCTTGTAGAATAGAATGGCAAGAACTCTTCTTAACACTTCTTCAATCACTGGAGTATTTCAGAGTTCGCTAAGCTGCTTTGTCCACATATCAGTATGCTTTGGTGCTGCTGTTGCTGCCGTATTATCTCTTAACTTCCTTCTTGGAGGTCAACATACATGGGGCTGGTTGTTGTTCGCACCAGCTATCCTGGGTAAGATAGTTCGGATTACAAATACAATTACATCTACATTACAATAGCATAGTATACATTCTGGTTTGCTCGTGCCATTTTATGTTGAAGAGTCGCTTATAAATCGAAAATTTGGAGGGTGGTGGAGCATTTGAAGTGATGCCACAAAAGGCACTGGGAGAGGTAAGGGTACTTCTACCCGAAAAATCGTTTCGCGCTCGTCGCACCTGATCGCGCGCACTCGTGCGCTAAGAAAGGGAAGGTTTGAATTCCTAGTGGAAGGGTACGGTGCCCGCCGAGCCGCCACTGCCGCTTGCTGTGGGTATCCGAATGGAAGTACTGCCACAATCTGAAACAGAATCCTATTCAGACTTATCGGGGCTCCATAGCAATCCTTATCAACTACCAAGCGTTCCTTGTGAAATGAAATACTGATTCGAATGATAAGTCATTGAATAGACTGAGAACGAGTTCAAAAATCGTGTTCGCTCGAACACTCGGAGATACGTCAAAGGATCGGTTGGCGTTAGGCGCTCCTTGCTCTGCCATCCGGCTTGCCTCCACTCTCCTCTTTCCTTGTGCTAGAGTGGAATGTCCATCTGAAAACATGTCTGGAACCTTCAAATTGAAGGCACCTTAGACGATATATATTACATCGACAGCCTCATTGTTCAGGAACAAGCCATGTATAAAATTGTTATGGGAATCTGTGATGCTCTCTCAATAAGATCCCTATTTTACGCCCATTTATCATTCCTTGCTACCGCATCATGCCTATCCTTGTATTAGGGTTTTATGGTGTAGTAGCAAGTGACTCACTATTAAACACACGTGGTCCGAGTTCGAATCCCGGATCGATATCCGGCTAAGCCAACCAGGCCCTCCATCCTTCTGGGGTTGATTAATTGGTATCAGACTCGTCTGGGAGGATAAAAGCACTGACTTGTACATCGGCTGACCACCGCAAATCATTTTAAAGGCCACATACTCAATCAATCCGCCACTGTGTAAATTCTGAAGGATGTCAAATGAGTGGGCACAGTCCCCAGACGGGGTTGATTGAAGCCCCAATACATAACCTTCACTTTATAGGAGCGATTCAAATTCTGGTGAACTTGTACGTACCGGAAACTCCAAATTACTATCTGCAAAATGGATTCTACATTCAAGCTATCGAATCTATCAAGTTTGTCCACCTTCTGTTGCTTGATCTTCTATAATGAAACTGTTTTCTAGTCTAATTGAAAACAATCTGAATGAGTTGACTATATGGCATTCAAATGATATTAAAAACATTCGTAAGAATCGATCGACTAATTTTAAAAATTGAAAATTAATCGAGTGGGAAAGTAATGCACCGATCCAGTGGAATTTTTGGTAGACTGATAGACAGCTTATCACTAGTGCAATTCCCTCACGTATATTCGGATCAATTATACTTAGAGTCCATAAGATTCTTTCTCAAAGCAGAAACACAAGTCAATAGCGTTGAAGTATTGAAGTGGAAATTCAACGGTAAAGCGCTGGTACCAGACTCTAATGAAGGTTTCTTTAGGTTTTACTACGATATTTCGTATGACGATGATGATGAAGCGATCCAAGAATACTGGGACATGGTACCTGAGGTAGCGTTTCTCACACGAAGGGCAAGCTCATTTTAACGATCAGAACCGTAGTTTCACTAGGGATTAATTCAATTCAGATGCCAAATCAAATGGGTTTCGTGGAAGCTTCAATGAGTTCGACCATACGCAAAGGTGCCCTCCTAGGTATAGTAGTGAGCGCCAGTCAAGTCTTTTCTGGAAGTGTTGCGTCAATTTCTTACTCCACCAGGTAAGATCGTTTTATCTGTTCAGATTTTTGGGAGGGGTACTAAGCAGTGATGAAAATCTTTTTCTACTACCTCATTTACTCAACGAAATTAAGGGTAGGGATAGGGATTATACCATGGTCGATATCCAAGCAGCTACTTTATCCTTTATCTACGGCGCGCATATGACTTCACCAATAAAAAAAGATGAAAGTTCCTCCTTTCATTGCCTACCTCAAAGACTAGTGTTCGATCTAACAACCGTGTATGTAGTGGTGGCGCCCCCTGTTGCTGCCCTATTTCCTGTCTTTCATGGGCACGCCTATCTAACGGCTCGTGTTATTCCTTGATTATATCCAATTTGTTTTTATCCCAACACAGGTTTCTTCGGAAGATTAAGTCTTATTTTCAGTATGTTCGAGGCTGTTTCGTTCACAAAAGTGTTGATTCCTTTTCTTCCTGCCTTGGGTGCGGTTTTCTCCATAATCCTTACCGTACCAGCTCTACAACTAGTAAGTTTCGTTTTTTTAATTTATAAATGGTAAAGAGAGCTTCTTTCTAGGAATTTTCGTCGAATTAGTTTTTGTTACCGTTATCCTTTTCTTGTTGTACGGTTGTGATGTGGTTTTCTGCAGGTGGAGACGACAAGCAGACGTTCACTTTTGCTCAGTACATTGTCATTGTGTCTTGTTGCCGACTGCCTTTTACTCATATTTTCTCTTCTGTCCATGGGTGAGCATTATTCCTTTCTCCTGACAATACGGTTTCTGATACAGGCCACCATATCCAATTTTCTGCTTCTTTGGTACGATTCTTCGCGAAAAAGCTCCTTTAAGAACGTTGCACGTACGAAACCCATCTCGATTATTCAGAAAATCACAAAAAAAAAACTTGCCCAGCCATAAAGAAAAGACCCCCTTTCCGTTTTTTTNTTTTTTTTCGTGATTTTTTGAACAATTAGGGGGTATTGTATCACTAGCACCAACGAGATCCTCCTATTTTATGATTTTTACGTTTGAGTGTTTTCTGCTTACCTTACCAGGATCTCATAGCACTCTGTGTACTTGAATATTCTCAGATTTTGGGACGAAATATGTTATATTGTGTTTTCAGAAGGATGGTGGGCATCGTGGCTCTACCTGGTAGCATTCTTTATCTATGGTCTGGGCTACAACTTAGGTGTTGGGCCACTAGCGTATTTTATTCCTGCAGAATTAGTACCAGCAGAAGCAGCTGGAGCTTCTCTCGGTTAGTGTAGATCTTTTTGAAACGTCTGAAACATCTATATCGTCCAAAATGATTTGAAGTAAGACTCCTTGTCACCGAAGCCAGTATGTAGAGATTTTGTGGGAGCATGAAAAACAGGGTGAAGGCGGTCTAATTGCAAGCGGTGCACTATTACACTCTTAAGGCCCGCATTACGGATCCTTGCCCGACCAGGCTTCCATTCCTTCGGGATCAGATTGCTTCCAGTCTTGTTTGGGAAGATGAAAACACTGGTTATCACATAAGCAGGCCACTGCAATTCTATGTACATACCACATACGCATTCAAAAGCGCCAACGATTCCAAATGGAAGTCGAATGTATGGGCGCATCCCGAAAACTGACCTGGTTGATGTCACAGAACCTTTACTTTATGGACATGGTCGTTTCTTTCAAGCCTATAAGGTGCCTCTTGTTGGGAATCTCAGACCATAGAGGGACTTTGAAACCGTTGAATTGGTCAAACTGAAAACTTCTCTGGGAGGTGGAATCTTCATCTCTTGAAATCATTAGCTACAAGTCGTGGCTACAGTAAGAGAGAAGCCGGAACTATTCCAAAAAATCACTTTGCAGGTGTTGCGGTAGCAGTGAATTGGCTTTGTTCCATGATCAGTACCCTTATTTACTATCCGCTGAATGAAAGCGTTGGTGGATGGAGTTATCTACTCTTCATCATCCCAACGTAAGAGACTCTCAGACGTTTATGACACTTATACAAATACAAAAAAATGCTGTCTTCAGGTCGATATTCCTTATTGTTCTCTACTTCTTCCTCCCCGAAACACGATATCACTACCGAGCAGATCCGACGGAGGATCGATTGCTGGTGGACTTGGGTCCACCAAGTCCTTATGGAACATTTGCTGATGAAGTTGATGACTTGTTTTGAAGTTCTCGTTTTTGTAAAGAATTTAAAAATTGCCATTGTATTTCATTATGAAATGAAGCCCGAAAAACTTGTATATGATTTTTTTTCCGCACGGGAAGGCTTTGAATCCTTCCGGAGTTCTTTTTTGGCGAATGTTTTGAAGTCAGAACTTATTCGTTTACATTCAATCCATTTAAAAACCTTTTTGAGGGTAAATGCGCTCAGAAATAACTTAATTCAGGAAACATGAAGTATGCGGAAGTAAAGCTCCTCTACTATCCGGAAGTTAGGTTCTAAGAAGGTGGGAGACAGTAAGCCAATAAACACTACTGGTATGTTTAGAAACTCGCTTGTTCGCGTAGATTCAGCGGAATTTTCTATGCTATGAAAACTTGCATGGAATACTTTCAGAACCCGGAAAACCATCGTTACATATAGATTTTTTGGAGCCCTTAGATTGATGGAAATACCAAAAAACAGTAGGGAGAATCCCGAGAACGGAACAAGTTGTAGCAGTGGCAGAAGTGTTGGCAAATAATGGCTCCATGTCATTGGAAAGACGATAGAGTTGGTAAGCGGTGTTGGTAGGGAAAGCTTCATCCAACGAAATGTTTTCCTTAAGACCTCTTTGCACTTTTTTACTTCTATCTGGTAATTCCAAATGTGGAAATCACTTCGCACGAGGTTTAAACCCTGGCGTCGCTTCACCTTGACATCAAAGCTTTGAGGTACATTTAAAGTCTTTATTTAAGATAGAGCTGCTAATTCGTAACATATGGATCTGTCGGTGTAATTCCAGTCGGTGACCATGGTCGGATTGTAACGTTTTTCGGGCTTCTGCGTGGTGTTGTGCGGCAAATCGAGTGCGTTCGTGAGCTACGNTTCCGGTATTTTGCGTGGTAAAAGTCAGCGAAGATGAAGAAGAAGACTGCTGATACGAATTTGTCCAGAGAAAGCCGTCCAGGGTCGACGTCGCATTTATGTCCTTCATCAATTTCCTGGAATATGTCAACAAATTATTTGTGGACCAGATCACACAAACCAGGGCATAAGCAAAAGAAAACTAAATTTCATTGATTTAAATTTTCCTTTGAGCCTTGCTGAGTAATTTCAGTAACCCAAAGCCCAATCAACCTTCGAACCCGACCGTTCAGTCGAATCCTGCTTGTTGACCCCCATATCGTCCACAAAAATTTCTGCTGTAGTGACCTGATCCTTACTCCTGCATTCATTGTCTCAGTATGTCGTACTCTCTCTTGCATGGAACTCCATAGCATGATGAGTCAACATAAGGCATACAAACACCATCGCCCCATAGGCCCGCTTTTAAGGGTTTTACAGATGCGACGGTGTTTCGTCACCTTTCACCCTAGAGGTTCTGCAACTTTGGCTGTTTTTCTATACGATCCATGCACGATCCGTTCAAAACATTAAAAAACCTAACAGTTGATCATGAAAACCTACACTTTGCGCAGTAAAGCACAGTATGAGACAAAACACCAACTGGTACACTTGCGCTGAAATACAAAGACCTGACTTTTTTAAAAAGTGGAAAGTAAAATTATGAAATCCTTGAACAACTGGGCTCTGTTTGTTGACTACTCATTTGACAGGTCATTTCGAGGCTTCTGGTAGAACTGAAGAAACGTTTAACTCACTGAAAGCTACAAATAGCCAACACGGAGCTATTCCAAATTTTTTCGGGCTCAAATAAGAATACAATATCACATGCGAGAATAGATTGATGGTAGCAAACCACCTGAATCACAGAGGCAGAACCATTTTCTGATGCAATCATCACCGACTTCTCATCGGATGGTAGTCATCCGATTACAAAAATGTGAAGGATGCTTCTGCGACCCGGTACAATGTCGGTATGGGCTACCTAAGTGATCGGTAAATGTTTGTTCTCAGTAATACACCGAAATCGGTATGGTGTCAAAACAAGTTTTGTAGAAAAGAATGAGGATCCCATCGAGGAGGAGAAAAGTTATTCAATATGTGCGCATCATATTGACACCAAAGTTTCGAATACATTCAGATGAAACCTCAGTAATCTCATTATGCTATGCCAGACATCAGACTTGGAGACCCTATCAACCCTCCTACTCCTATTCTCCTTCAACACAGTACCCACAGCCTATATTACCTCCCAGCCAATTTCAACAGACATTCCCGTATTATCTTCGTGCTACCCATCACCTGCATAAAAGACCATAAGCATGAAATGGCTACATATAAATGAAGGGTAAACTCAACCTGCCAAGAGAGTTGTGGTAAGAATAGCTGTTCCACGTAAAAAGTAAAGTGACGACATGATGAAAAATATGAATGAGCAGCGGGCGACGTCCTTCGAGAACGATAAGCACTGTTTCAACCAAGTCGAGCAATTTCGTGAACACGAATAGAAACATCACCGTGCCACTAATGGTCCCTGACACGAAATAAATTTAGGGACGGTAAGATCCTTACAATTAGGGTGAGGTAGTATTGCTCGACGGTGTTTTCGGGAACAGAAATATTTGACAGAGATGTTTGGTGCATCTGTCCTGCTCATAACAGAATAAAGGGAAGCGGGTCAAAAACTATTACTTTGCATTGGCACCTATGTAGTTCGAACTGAGCTGCCACTCGAATGCTTTCGTTTTTGATAAGGCCCGCTTGTCTTGTTCAAGCTCACATTAAAATTAGGTGGTGACTTCTAAGGTCACCTTCCGTATTTGTGGCAACGAGCTGTTAGTAGGAAGGCTAGAAAGCGTTCGAACTTTTTCTGAACTTCTCTTTTGCTTGAAGTTAGAAGCTCGAAGTTCGCGACCTCACATATTTTTAGGAGTCGGTACCTATTCTTCCTTCAGACATGATTTATTGAAGTTTGTAGGAGGCCTTATTCATGCATATAAAGATGGAAATCGATGTTTTGCTGTTCAACATAATCCGTATCCGGAATTCACAGATAGTGGAGTGCTGTACCCTGGGAGCATCGCGAGAACTTGCGTTTTACTCAATGAACATTATTTTTGTAAATTAAATTTGTTCGCTCCTGTTGCAGCTCATCTTAACCAAACAGTCAAGGTAGGAGCGGTCTTCATGATT